GATACCGCACGAGTGGTCTGCCTCGAAGTTCAAGACGTGCTGCGATAGTAAAACATCATTTTTTTGGCACGATGAGCACTACGTCAAGGAGCTTACTGAACAAATCCATCCATACTTCAAAAGCCTCATTCCTGTTGTGTTGGATTGGTATGAGCTCATGAAAAACCCGAAAAACGTGCATTTCGACGACGTGCTTACGGTGTTGAATAAACATCTTGCGGACCTTCCGATGGATGAGCCCTCACCCGAACTCCTGGTTTCAAGGTGGTTGCTCAGGGCACTCAAGGAACAGGATGAGAAAGATGAGAAGGAGGGCCCAAGTGTTGAGGAAAAGATGTCGCAGTCGGTTGCTGGGACTCTGCCGGGCAACAAGAACAAGCGAGTCATAGATTATCGATGGACGATGGAAGCTATGCCCAAGCCGAAGAGGTCCAAGACTCGGAGATAGGAACTTGAAAACGCATCTGATTCATTATGTCATTTCAATTGGATTTGTTTGAGTCACTGATGATATATATAATCGCGCTAACCTCCGCACAACATGATACCATACGACTACATCATTACTCAACCACATCATTTGTATCATGCCTGCAGGCCAACACTCGACTAATATCTCTGAACACGTTGATTCTGACTTCACTAAAATTCCACGCTGTTACCCACGCCGAGCTCGAGTCATAGTAATTGCGATACATTCCTTATTAAAAGCCATCAAGGTAAGTTTTTTGTTTCCTTCGTGCCAGTTTCTCCCTGGTGTCAGCCTCAGATGCCATCTCAACGTCAGGACCCAGCTCGCACTAGCCCTAAGAAGAGGAAGACAAAGCGCAAAGCCGCGGATTCTGATGGGCAGATGTGTCAACCAAGAAATCGCGGGCTGAGGCTGAAGCACCCATCGCGTCGCAGCAGCCTACTCGACGTTCTGGACGTCCTGGTGCTGGAACAGGAGGTAGAGTTAGTCAACTCGAGATCATTGGAGCACTCTTGGGTTGCCCCAGCACGTACCAGCCAGCCCAAAGGCTCCACCTCCCTCGACCTAGTATCCCCTACCAATCCGCTTGCTCCCAGAAGAACCGCCTCGCAAGAGAGGCCGGATGAAGGTTTTTTCGTTTTTTACTTGTAGTAACAGACTGATCACTCTGAATACATCAGAAGCCCCCCTCCACCATATAGCGCCTCTGGCAAGCCGATGGATTCTGCGCCTTCGAGACCACAGGGGGAAAAAGCTACAGTGGCGAAAGAAAACCTGCTCCCGTTGCCTCAACTGTCAAGTCCATGGATTCTGCGCCTTCGAAACCACGGGAAAAAAAGCTACATTGACGAAAGAAAAACTACTCCCGTTGCCTCAACTGTCGAGCCCCCAAACCTCCAACCCAGTTTCGTACATCGTGAAGCGGGTTGCACGCTTTGGTTTTTCTCAGTTCATCGTTCCCCCTGGTACAGAGCCTGACCTGCAGGCACTCAACAACCCTTTTGTGGCTGCAGCCAGGAGAAAGCAGGCTTCTTTCAGCAGGTCTAGCTGCACGTCAGCCTGATGCTAACTCAGACTTATTCCAGAACCTGGATCCTACCCTTCGGCCAGTCAACAACGGACTGCAAGATTCAGGAGCTGAAAGCACGGAGACATCTAGTGAGGGTGGCGATGGAAATACTGACGACGACGACGACGACGACGACGACGACGACGACGACGACGACGACGACGACGACGACGATGACGACGACGACGACGACGACGACGACGACGACGACGACGACGACGACGACGACGACGACGACGACGACGACGACGACGACGACGACGACGACGACGAAGATCACACGGACAATGAAGTTGGCTGGGGAGCAGCGCAGGGCGCGTGACTGAACATCCTGGTAAGCAAATCAATGATCACCATCATGACATACTAAACGAGCGACAGGTTTCTCAAAAGAAGATTTACCGTCTCAACCCCATGTCGCTCGTGCTCTTCCAACCGACTTCGATTTTCAATATTCACGTGATGAAGGTGACATTAACGCAGAAAGATCTTTGGCAGATGATATCTCCAGTACTGATGATACCGCGACCAAGGTATAGTTTATTTAGTTTCCTGAAAGCCTACTAATTTTCTGTTTGTTTGGCAGCCGGCTGAACCTAAGCCAGATGATGTCCTTACAGCGCCACCACCAGAAAAATGGACGCCCCTCGACTTCCTGATCCACAAGTTCTTGACCTCCTACGTCACGCCGAGACAAAGTCTTCCAAGTCAAAGGACACAAACGTCAAGACTACATCAGCAAAAGTGAAGGAATCAGGTGATGGGCCTAGAGCCACTCAACTAGGCTTGTATGGTCCACGATGGAAAAACTTCCTTGAGGTTACGAAGAGCGAGTGCTGCGCCCAACACGCGATAGAGAACCCATTCCCCAAACTAGCGAAAGATTTGACAGGTTCCATCACTGAGATACTCATGGCTTCGCTCGTCGAATGGCTCGAGGGTGGTCAACAAGTTGAAGAGGGTAGGTCTTTTTTGCTGTCGAGATATTTTACTGACGTGTCTACCAGGTATTTTGGCCTGATCGCAAGCATGATATGGCAAAACTGGTGTGTGCATTCATTGGCACGCATCCGATATCTAACGTGCTGTTATGTTAGCTGTATGAGGATTTATCAATGTGGCGCTCGGACCTCAAGAAGACCGTTGCCAGTATTGTGCCCTCCATGTACGACCTCATACCTCCATCTCATGTCCCACCCCAACAACGTGCTGCCTGGGTTGAAGAAGCTGCCACGGAGTTGCTCAAAGACGCTATTTTCTTACGCAACGGTGTAGATGAAAATGGGAAAACCGAAAAACGCCTCTCATCCTGTGCTCCGCGAGGCTTCTATCTCTTTCTTCTATACAGGGTCTTACCGTGTTGCTCGCAGGAGACCTGAGGTCTTCCAGAAGTCTTTTACCGCTAGAGTGCTTGGCACTGGTTTGCACCACGGTATTTTTCGTCCTTCCATGTCCTACTAACAACACACTGACCACATGTTTGATAGGTTAATTGTGTCCTAGATGGCTTTGCTAAGAACGGCAGCGGAAAATCATTTCCGAAGTTCACCGCAAAGGAATACTCTTCTTTGTATACTGCTATGCTCACTAACCTGGAATTGATCATGCGTGACCCTTACCATGGACCGAAATTAGCGCGGCAACTTCATTCCTGGGCTGCAGCTGGATGGCAAGGAGTTTTTGCTTTCGAAGTATTGCATGCTGATGAAGTTCTCACAGGGCGGAGTCCTACAAAGTCGACGGCAATGTGAATGACGCTTCGAGGACATTCTCATTTGAAAATCATCCTTGATTGACGTCTTTCTATTCTTGACATTATTGCCCCGCATTGATTCTATCTCGAGCGTCGTTTAGTGTAGTATGCATCTGATTGAATGCTATTATTGATTTTGTCGATTTTTTGCTTGTGTGTACATGTGTGAACAGTCGAGCAGCTAGCAGCAGCGGCACAATTATATTTTATTGGTACAAGAGCCCTTCTCTGGGTGTCTGTGAGTTATCTGTACAGAGATCTACAGAGTGAAGTAGTACTGTAGTGAGCTGTATAGAAGGGACCAAGCTGTCGGCCTGTCACACTGTACAGTTCTGTACAGTTCTGTACAGAACCGAGTGATTTACTGATGCGTGTTGGTAGTTGGACCGACTCAGGCACCCTCCTCGTAGATACTAGTATATTATGCCGGCTATATATCGTTTGCGTCTGTTGATTGTACTACTTGCTAACACATTATTGCGCTGATAATCTAATAATGTTGATGAATCATCTTGCACTTCGTATAGGCACTCGCAGAATGAGTTTAGGGCAGAAGAGTCTCCTCTCATCCACAGGCGCTCAATCAGGTCAATCATGTCCAAGCAATTCATCCCGGTCAACCAAGTATGCCTGGCATAGATTAAATTTTGTGAAACTTGACTCTTGAGTCAGCGTACAAACATGACCAAAACCAGGTGTTTGCGAACTTGTAACTAGGACGGAAACTCTTGCAAGAGTCTTCTAAGATATCCACCAGGTGAGTAACCATCTCTCATTCCAAGTTTTTATTTTGCTTCTAACCTACATTTTGATTGTCACAGATTTCACAACGTTAACCGTTGCTTCTGAACGTTCAAGCACACCAATTGTCCCTCAATCCACATGCGTATTCTCACTAAGTGTCTCTATTTCACTAAATCATGACCCAAGACCTCGGCGGGGCAGCAGCAAATGAACATTAGCGATGTCCTAGAAGCATCAGCGATCCAGGGAGCGGAAAACTTTTCGAGTGATGCTGCTAGTGAGCCAGGTGTATAAAAGCTAGTATGTGCACTAATTCACCCACTCACTATCCTTTCGTCTTCCCCCATAGAACTCTACCGCTTTTCTACAACCAACACCATGCCCGCATATCCCGAAATTTTTCAGGTTGTTTGTGTGCTCCAACGTGCCAGCACAGAGCTCACCATTTTCTCCCATGAGCTGGGTGAAATAGTTACAATAGCATAGTATGTACAGCACCTCGCGCACTATGATTTGCCCCTTTGTCGCTGACCTGTATTAGCCCAGTCAACCGGGCTACTGGGGAGCGCATCATCTCTCATAACATCAAGGATTGGACGCGACGTCGCAATATAGCATGGGAGTGCTTTTTGTGGACTTTTGACGGAGCACTGCACTCCAGTCCGCTTCGACACCAACCATCATGGTCATGCAATGGCTTATTGCCATCAGTCTCCTAGTGAGTGCGGTTTCTCATGTATGTACCCTTTGCTCATGTATTTGGCATATCTTGATGCATTCCTCAGTGAATATTAGCAAGGCACGAGAGACTGCCCTATACGAATCGGTATATACCGATGTCCTTACTCGAGGTTCGTCATTGCCTGCAGTCCGCTCCAATATCTGCTGTGTGCTAATCATTCTTAGTGTATCTTAACCATCCACGGCTTGTGAATCTGCGTGATTTGGTACTGCGAGTGCATCGCGACCGACTTACAGCAATGCCCAGCGAACACGCCCAGCTTTTCCCCTACTTTGAGGGCTATTGCGGCACCCCCATCTCAGGATTAGCGCCGTCACAGCGAGGCGGCGCTGTCCGTAACATTGCATCTTATCATTGTCGTCCAATCTCAGGTAAGCCTTGGAAAACTTCAAACCTGGTTGATACAAGTACTGATTTTATTGTAGCTTTGAATATGCGTCAACAACGCATAACTCACTATATCCGCAGGCAGCCTGTCCCTCCTGTGGATGAACTTGCAAGTCTGTCATTGACGGAACAGAACGCACTGCGTTCGCTTGCCGACGGCAAAGGTATCACGGAGTACGAGCATATTGGACTATTAGAGTTGTGTGGAGGTTGTCAAAAAATGTTCACAGCCAGTGCATTGCGGGTACACATCCTTACCTACTCACAGAATTGAAGCTTATAATATATATAGTCTGGTTTACCTTACATGTCGAACACCGGTGACTGGAGTCCTGGTGTGTTATATAATTTGCTGCTTGCACGTACCTTGTTTTCGGAAGCTTTTGGGAGCTGATCTACTTCGGAACAGTAACAGGGCACTCATCACTCTGTCCAGGGTAGCTGAACGTCCTGTTCCTCGACCTGGGCGTCTAGGAAAATGAGGTAGGTTTGACACGGTGATGTAACATAAAATGCATAAAATACGCACATCTGTAGCTTAGAGCAAGAGACCCCACAGTTCCTCCCAAAGTCCACATTGACCGTGCTCAACGCCATCAACGTCAACCTCCAGTAAAATGTCGAAGCTCATTCCAATCACTAAACCCATGCAAGAGTTCAAAGGCCATGGAGAACGCGTAATGGCAGTCGCAGTTTTCCCTGATAAACGACGGATGGTTACGGGCTCAGACGACAGGACACTTCGTCTGTGGGACTTAAAGACAGGTGTTGTGCTGAAGAAGATGGAGGGGGCATAGGGTGTGGGCATTGGCGGTATCGCGCGATGGCCAATTGATAGCAAGCGGTGAGGATGAAGATGGAGAAGTCATTGTCTGGCACGGAGAAACTGGGGAATCGCTCACCCAACCCATCAAGGCTCACTCCCGTTATATATCCTCGTTGGGCTTTTCTCCTGATGGAACAGTGCTGGCCACTGGTTCAGCAGACAAAACGACGAAACTGTGGAATACCGAAACCTGGCAGCAACAAGGTGATCTAATAAAGTGTGGTAGTAATGTCCGCTGCGTACGGTATTCGCCCTCTGGAGAACTTCTTGCCATTGCAACATACAACAATATCCAAATTTATAATCCAGGCACCAGGAAACGCATCGCATCCTTCAAGGGTCACACAGAATCCAACCTGTCACTCACGTGGACGCCCAATAGCACTCGCCTTCTCACAGGCGGTGATAATGCTGATCCTACCATACGCGAATGGGATGCATTGACCTGGCAGGAAGTCGGTGATCCTTCAACCGGCCACACTAGCTATGTCCATACCATTGCCGTTAATCCTGCTGGCACACTCGTCGCATCCGCATCTTATGACCAACATGTCCGTCTTTGGCGACTTTCAGACCGACGAAGCATTGCTATCTTCAAGCACTCATCCTTGATGACATGTGTCACTTTCTCCATGGATGGCAAGCACATCCTCAGCGGAGGTAAAGATAAGATGATCTCAGAGTGGGCAGTACCCAACGACATCAATTCAAAGGCATGTTTCCGTCCTTGACTCATACACCACAAATCGAGCATGTTTCGTGCAGATCCTAGCCATCACAACAGCACGCATTGCATGCATAGATGGAGACTTATCTACTGCCGAAGAACTACTCACACAAGATATCAACAACAATACCAACAACCATACTTCCTACGCCCATCGCTCATTCGTTATGGCTCGAAAACACGACTGGGAACACGCCCTTCAGGATGCAATCAAGGTGAGATGGAATGCCCAATCATAGCTCCCTTTACAAAGGCTAACTCGATAGTGACATAGTCTATCAGCATTCAGCCCTCATTGATAGGCTATATCTCCAAGGGCATCGCCCTCTGCGGAAAAGGCCACATTCGGATGC